GATATACTATTCTGTAAAAATAATATAGGAGTAAATTTACTATTGATATACCAAATAAATTGACCCAATTAATTAAAATCTCTATCATTGTTATACGTGAAAGTGAAATTATGTGAATTCGCAATTCACATATGTGAAATTCAAATTTAAATGTGTGAAATTCAAATTAGCCAATCAGAATTTCACCCCACTCCATAATATTTCAATTTCACTTAATTTTCAATTTCACATACATCATCCCCAAAATAATTATCCAATTAATATTAATATTATTGGTAATGTAAGTGCCAAATTGTTATTATTATTATTATTATGAATGGATGGGGCCTGCACATTACCTAAAAAACAATTTAAACCCCTATTTTCTTGAAAATCAAGGTTTGGTTTAAACTTCCAATTTTTATGTATTTAAAGATGTATTATTATTATATATTAATTATACACAAGTACTTAAAAAAAAACAATACTAATACCGATTCTATCACAATACAATAATTTCATTAAGAATGAAAAAAAAAGACTGAGCATGAGCACAGAATATTAAACATCTATCCAAGAATGACATTTGTCAATAGTAACGATATTATTTACAAAGATAACAGGGATAATGCTTATCATTCAAATGTAGATTGGTTAAGTAATAAAGATCATAGAAATTGGATATCTTATCATAAATTACAGAATTTGCGCGACAATTTGGATATGAAAATCGGTATATTGGAAATTGATAAAGTAACAGGAATAGCCAAATCACAAAATAAGCTTGATGATTATAAAGAATTGTCTGAAAGAACAAAAAAAACGTTGAAACATTTCTCAATCGACGAAAAAAATAGAAGATACAACAATTATAATAATAGAAACAACGTTCATCATTCAAATGTAGATTGGTTAAAAGCCATATAAACTGGATCTCTTACCACGAACTAAATAATTTGTTTGACTTTATTCGCATAGAAATGTGCATACTGGAAATTGATAAAGTAATAAAGGCTGAACACAATGAAGGGTTCCAGGATAAACTTAATAATTATAAAGCAATATTTGAAGAAACAAAAAATAAATTAGAATCTTTGATTGCTGTAAACAATAACCTGTACCATTACTGTTCAAAAAAAAGAGTCAAGTTTAATTACTAATTATCTCGCAAAAATTAAAATAGCCTTTTCTTATTTTTAATCAAAATAAAATAAAGAGAGTTGTTATATTAAAAAAAAAATCATAATAAAAATTTTAACATATTAATATGGCTTTGAGTAATAGTAATGCCTAATTTGCCGTAATTCGGGAATTCCGACGACAAGTATATACTAGATGCCATAGCTTGTATAATTTAAATCAGTTTGTTTATTTAACATAAATATATTTATATGAATCATAAACAATATAATCGTGATAAAATATTTATTATTATGACATTTATTCCTAATTTTTTTATTTAATTATTATGCTCATGAGGTGAAAATATTATACTCATACTTCCTCCCAAAATCTTAATTGTTTTTGATAACCACTGCATTTCTATTTTTTTTATTTTTTCCAAACGTAAAACCAAGATCCATAAAGTTTTTTGTTAATTCTTCGTCTTCATCTTCATCTTCATCTTCATCTTCATCTATATCTTCATCTAATAACTCGTTATTATTATTATACTCATTATAAGCATTCGTGATTATTTCTAATGGGAAAGATATAAGTACACAATGGAATTTGAAATGATTAGCGCTGTTATTTAGTAAATCCAATGCAAGTATCTCCAATTGCTTGTCATTCTTGTATTTCATTTTTTCTTTAATCTCTTTAAAATCCTCAAAAGAAGGAAACGTTACTTCTTTTGCGGGTTTGCCTACTATTGCGGGTTTGCCTAGCAAAATGGGTCGATATTCTAAATGATCTCTGTATTCACTTTCTGTGAGATATATTTGAATACAACGAACGCGTATTTTCTGTTTCTTCTGTTTCATAATTATTATAATTATTTAATAAAATTTAGTTTAACGTAGTTATATGCAATTTAGCGTATTGTATTGTATTTAATATTATTAATAAATCAATTGAATTGTTTTTATCAAATAATTAATACAAACTTGACTGTATTATTCACAACGAATTGTTTAAAAACTTTTAAAAATAACCAAGCAGGTTGAAAAACTTTATTACCATTTATAATTATGGATGATAATAATGATGATGACCTTTTTTCACTACTTATCACGAAAGAAGAATACAAAACATATTTATCAAATACAAAAGATAGTCCGTTTCCTCCGTATGAAGTTTTTGAAAAAATCATATCTGTTAATGATCCAGAGAAGATGTTAAGAATAATCCGGGATAATATAGATGATGTAAACATACAAAAAAGATGGGCACAAACATTTATTTATGCCAGGGTTACTATTAAATTGGATTTGGATTTACAAAAAAAATAAAAGCGATAATAAAAACAATATTTATATGTATTAATATTAGTATTAGTATTAGTATCAGTATCAGTATTAGTATATCTCAATAAAACTTATTTTTATTTTTTTCTTATAAAGGTCCCTGAAAAGTCTTACAAATTTGTAAATCATAATTATAATCGTAATTGTTATAACAAGAACTGCCCCAAGACCAGAACGTTTACTATTACTAAGAATTGACACATAAAAACAATTACATTCCAAATAGCGTTCGTTGTGTTGTGAACAATTATTTGTTTGAGTGGAGGAATAAGAACAGGCA